AATTCCCTGCATGCTCAAGGAGGAATCTTGGTGCTGGGTTTAGGAGCATTAAGTGCTTCCCGATGGGATTTGCAGGGCTTGAGCAGTGTGTTTGGCTCCTGGGAGCAACACGCTCCTGCAGGAAAAGGCTCAAGCTACTGGGATAGAGTTTCCAATCCCCCATGGATGGGTGTCCCTTGGCTTTGGGAAGGGATTGATCCCCCTCTTCCAGCCTGGAGCATTGCACCCAGCTGCTGGGTTTAGGAGCATTAAGTGCTTCCCGATGGGATTTGCAGGGCTTGAGCAGTGTGTTTGGCTCCTGGGAGCAACACGCTCCTGCAGGAAAAGGCTCAAGCTACTGGGATAGAGTTTCCAATCCCCCATGGATGGGTGTCCCTTGGCTTTGGGAAGGGATTGATCCCCCTCTTCCAGCCTGGAGCATTGCACCCAGCTCAGTGCTGGCGGGGGGAGGAGGAGCAGCAGGAAGGTCTCCTCTGCCCCACTTCCCACCCCAGGACCTACCTCATCGAAGGTTTTGTGGGGCCGGATCACCATCTGGGATTCGTAAGTCCTGACCCGAACATACTCGGGATCTTCCGGGACACTCGGATGCTCCACAGCCCTGGAGGGAAGGAGATGGGATGATGGGAGCAGCACGGGATGAGGTCCGGTGCCTTGGAGGTGGGTACCAAGAGAACAAGGGTTTCACACCCCAAAAGCTGCTCTGGTTTTGAGGCGGATCCCTGAGGTTTGAGCAATTCCCTCATGGAATTCTTACCCAGCTCCCAGCATGTGTCACCGGGACACGTACCGTGAGACCAGCACCATCAGGTTGTTCTCCTGGTCCACGCTGTACCGCCGCACGTACACGTAATCCCGGGAATACATGGGATACTGGGGAGGGAAAGGAGAGGGATGAGCCCCGGTGGCTTCCTGGGATATGGAGGGTGGGAAAGGGGCCGCTCACCGGGAAGTGGGTGACCCAGTGGATCACTTCGGAGCCAGTGGCCAAGTCCCTCTCGATCACGTCCAGTTTGATGACCAGCGAGTCCCATTTCTTCCTGTACTCGGTGTCCAGCTGCAGAGAGAGAGGTCGGGTCATGGCAGAGCCAGGGAGGAGCTGAGGATACCCCATGGGGGGGGTCAGCGGAAGGGATGGGATCCGGAGGGATCTGGACAGGGGTTGGAGCTGGCGGAGATTTAAGGTCCCTTCCACCCAAACCAGCCCCGGTGCCCACAGCACTCACCTGCACGTTGAAGAACTGCCGGGGAGTCACGTCCGTGTAGGAGCCGAACACTGCGGGAAGAGGAAGGATTTAATCCCAGGATTAGAAGGAAAAGGGATTTTCTAAGGCAGGGGCAGGGCCAGGACCCCCAAAGGGCACCAGGAGCGGGGCAGAGGGGTGCCCGACACGACTCCTCCCGCTGTTACCTCGGTACTGGTACAAGTGGGTGCCCTCGATCGGCCGCCGCCAGAGCTTAAAGTGCTTCTTGTCCATGATCATCTCCCAGGGCTGCTCCCCCTGCTCCGCTCTGGGATCCAGGCGCTGGGAATCGCCCTGGAACAGGCTGGAAATGTTCTCCATGTGCTTCATCTCCTGCGCAGAGCTGGGGCCAGAGAGACCCAGACCCTGTTAGTGACCATCCAAGCCCAATTCCAGCATCTTCACCCACAGGAGCTGGATCCGGGTCTCCAGGATAAACCCCAAGCTGCAGCTTCCCCCCCTAATCAGAGTGGAAGGGCTGGATCTGCCCCAAGCCTCAGCCTGCAGGAAGCGGGATCATTCCCAACACTCCCAGCGCCGGGATACACTCACTGTGTCAATGGAATCAGCACCACTTTGTGACCTGCGAGGCCCG